GCCAGAGATCAACCAGCGCGCCGCGGAGAGTGTTCTGTAATACACCTTCGACGACAACCACGATGCTGGGACCTATGACGAGCGTCGTACGCCAACCAGAGACCACCGCCGAAACAACGAGAATCGCAGGGGAGCGAGGCAAAACTCCGAGGCTAGGTCGAAACGGTGCAAATGGCGTTCGCGTGTTGCCCGACCAAACAAAGTTCCTTTTGCCCGGGGACGAAAGACGCTGATGCTTTGACGAACCTTGAGAAATTAAACTGATAAGCTTCTCGAACTTTACCGTGGTTTAAGTAATTAATCCGCGACGCGTTTCTTCGGTTACTCGTCGTGCAGAATTTTTTGTGAACACGATTCCTAGGGGGGACAAATATGTTTAATTTAGGAATATTTTTTAGTGTTTAGTTTAGTAATTGTTGGAGTACATTTCTCTTGTATCGCCTACCCCTTATGTTGGGCACAGAAATTTCCTGTTTTTTTAAAGGGTGCTTCTCAAGAGGTTTAGAAACCATGTTTTATAAAGTTCGATACTTAATATACAAGGCGGGTGTAAATTCGTAATACTTGTTTTCAATTTACCCCACGAAGGTCCATCAAAATTGGTGATTAGTGTGCATTCCCCTTCTGGGTTAGACATCATCGAACACGCATTAGAACACAGCTGGACATCGTTGAGTTCACTTTACGATTCAGAGCGTTTGGACGCTTCGAAGAACATACAGAGTGTGCCCGAAAAACTTTGCCAACATACTCTACAAGCGAAATTAATGATGACCATGACACCAGTTACATCAGTGAATTTTAATCAATTCGAAAATTCTTTCTCTTTTGCTAGTTGCTGCAGCGAGTGATGTCGCGGTCAACGACACGTCAGAGACATCGAAATTTTTGGACGTCGTTTCAGGACTCATCTTTCTCCCCTTGTCGCTCGCGTGTCAGCGCCGGGTAGCACAGGACCCGAGAGGTGAAAAAACAATGGTCTTACGACCCGAAACCCTTTCGTTTCGATCACTACGGAGTCTCTTTGCGCTCTTGTCTCCTTTCTTTCTTGGCCTCTCTTGTTCGTTTCTGCCGTCGCGCTCTCCTCTTCCTTTATTCGCGTCCTCTCTTTTCTCGCCACCCTCTCATAGAATTCTTCTGCATGCCGCCGCGTCCCGTCTCGCCTCGCCTCGCCTCGCCTCGTCTCGTCTCGTCTCGTCTCGTCTCGTGCATCGACACAATGCAACTTATTGTCAGGGATGCACTGTGGATCAGTCTCACCAGACACCCCAATGATACCGACGACGTCGACGACGACTACGATGGCGTCGACGAGCTCCAAGCGACGCACGACTATTTAGTAGACGCTTAAGCAACGCGCATGCTGCTTCGAATTCATCCCGGATCAACTTACAATTTTCAGAAGCTGAAAGTGATTATGCACGACTATTCTGGAAACTGGAACGAACCGTAGCTCTTTTCTAATCCATAAAGAAAAAGATTCAATCTTCATGCGCGGCCATCTTTTGATGATATGCAATTTCTACGAAGTTATTTCTTTTTAAATGTTTTTCCCTCGACATAATTGATAAACGTATGTTAAAGTACTGACATGGGTCACGTAACGACGATGCAGAACGAACCAGTACTGAAATCACAACTGATTTTTTTCAACGAAGCTGCCGGATACGTTCGAGGAAAGTTTGCACGCAGATTGCAAAGATCGATGACCAATTTTTGTTTATCGTCGTTCCAGCCGCCCGCACAAAACCATGAATTCGCAAAGCATCGGTTAATCGGGTCTTTCGATTCATACACGAGGTATTATTTTGTATTCCGTCAGAGTAGAAGGGATACAATCAAATATGGTAACTGTTGCGAGCACTCAACCGCACGTGGACCCCGGGGGTCGGATTATCTCCGCGTTGCTGCAGGGTTGCTGCCGTTTATACATAGGATAACCCGTGTCAGGAGGGTTGTTTCTCCGTTCCTCTTCGTTTCTCCGCTTTCGTCTTTCCGTCTGTTCGCGTCTCTCTCGCTCAGGCATGTTCGTTCGTCTTCGTCTTTTGAGATTCCCCCTTGCGCGGAGTTTCGACCGATACGAGAAACGGAGAACGCCTCGGGCCAATCAGAAACGACAACTGGCACCCCCCCTTTCAAAAAGCAAAGCAAAAGCAGATTACGGCGCAATCATCGCACCAATTCTACCATCGGCTCCTATCCTCTTGATGGAAGCCCCGTTTGAAATTCTGCCCCGCGCCTGGTCCGTTTAGGCAAATCGCGGCGTCGTCTTATCGCGACGCTATATTTGCAAATTTCTTTATTTGTCACTCCTCTTGGAACGGGGTTCCATCGATTGCAGCGTCGATAAACGAAATTATTTAATTAGCTGATGAACGAACATAGTGCCTTTTTCGAAAATAAATGGTCAGACATCGAACGATACGTAAATGCGATCTAATAGTGTACTTATTTTTAGCGAATTGACAAAATGATGAATATATGAATGATAGATAAATTGTTTGAGTAGCTCTAAGAAATTGTAAAATATCGATTTTTTGAGAAATGCAAAAAGATACTGACATCGAGTCCAATAGACATGGGAAATTCGTTATTATTATGTTCCAGAACAGTAGTCATATAATAGATATTATGTACATACGTGATCCGTACAATAAAAGCCTATATTGCTGTTAGATCCGAGCCTGTATTTTTAGCAACGTGTACGAAAATTCTGTATCAGTGTTTGTTACATATATTCTCCAAACGTCCATAAACGTTCATCGTACGGCCTATATCGATCTGAGCTTCTAAAAGCGTATTCCGTACTCGAAGAACCAACGATAGGAGACGTTAATTTTGAATTCCATTTAAAGCATAATAACGCCTCCTAAAAGGAATTCCAAACCCCCCTTTTCAATAACAAACTTCTCTAATGATGAGAGGACTTTTATTTCTCATTATAGATCAGTCTTGACTGTGAGACCGTAAGATGTTGACTCGATACTAAATTGAAGAGCTAAGAATGTGTTTTAAAAAATTTATAAAAATTCCATAGTCACTTTTGTTGAATACCTATACTCTCCCAACCCCTACAAGCGTTCAGCGCACGGTCTATAGCGATCGACCGACCGTGTACAGACATTCACAGCATAGAAAGAATAATACTAATTTTTAACCCTTAATTGGATTATTGGGGCTCTCCATAAGTTTAAACTAATATCGTATAATTATTTGAAAATTTACGTAATCCTCCATTATTTTTTAAATGCTTCAACACGTTGACTGCCAGATCAAACTCCTCAAATTACAAGGGAAATTAAATTTGTTTGTAGACAACTGGTAACTAGCAAACCCATCATTTATGATTGAATTTATTTTCACAGACTCGTTGAAATTTAAGGGCCCTACCTAGCTTTATTTTCTTTGACATTTAAGCTTGAGAATTAATTTTTTTAACTCCTTGGTGAAAAGTCGTGTCACCCATATGTGGGTGACGTGGCAGTCAATGTGATAAAGGGAAGTTGACTTCCATTTACCAATTGGATAAAAATTAAAATTAAGTCAAATAATTCAGCTGAGATTGAGAGTCCAAAGGGTTAATAGATTCTATAGCTGGTGTTTGCAAGTGCTTGACAGATTATCGTGTCAGTATAATAGCGTTGCACGAAGTAGTGTTTAATTTCATTCGAATCCCAGACATCGACCGTGAAAATTGCATCGTGCATACCTCTTTTCGACGATTTTTAACCGCGATTTCGAATCCCAATCCTTCACGATCGAGACCTTCGTTTGGCGACGCGTATTCTCGTCCACGCGACCCGAAACGATACGCGCGGAGATTCTCCCGCCGGAAGGCGTAAGATTCCGGCAACCCGAAGTTAAAAAAAGAACACAGGAAACATACGTGCATACACGGGGTTGCTTTTCGCTGCTCATGACACCGCCTGCCACCCTGGCGGGAAAACGCCGGGGCAAAAGAAATCGCACGTTTGATGTACCGCCAAAGGGAACGCGTGCATGACCGTACGATGAAAGAGAGACAGGAGAGGGGGGAAGGGGACCAAACCAGCAGGAGAGAGAATATTCCGTCGGTCGAGGTACAATTTCGTGTGGGTTGGTTGGTCGACTGCAACCACGTTTCTACATCCCCCAATCCCTCACCCCTCCAACTCTCTCTCTCTCTCTCTTTCTCTCTCTGGCTCTCTATCTTTCTCTCGTTTCGCTTAAATGTTACAATTATTACCGGAAAAGCGTTGTATACGCATGTGGGAAACCGCGGGACCCACCGACGGAATTACATTGATATTAGTATCGTTTCAGCCGGCAGATTAATTAATTAAAACGTACCTTACACGCGCCTCTTCTCTTATTCTCCGCTCCTCTCCCCCGTGTTTCTCATTGCTGGCCACTTTTACCACATGCGAAACGCACAGCCGACCGCGCGTCGGTTTTCTGATTCCGCGGCGAAAATACCGCGAATTTGACGGCTTCGCTAACCCGTGCTACTCGAAAATACGGTCTCGCGTCGGATTTGTCGGGGATATTACTTACTGGGAGGGTTATTACTTCGATGATGCTCGGAGGAACGAATTTAGAGATCGAACGACCACAGTTGGACATTTTTTCTAAATGCTTAATCTTTCCACAATTTCCAGTGATTCTTAAAACGAAGTCAATTTACGAATCACGTTTCATTTCAAGAATCATTGCTTTCAAATGTAATATATCGCAGTGTACCTTTTTACAAGTCCACAACACTCTTCGTATGCTTTCAAAGAAAGCTTTATGCTAATGGATTTGATACAACTAAGATCGTATGAAATTATTCTATAGTTTAGACATTTAACATACAAATGTTATATGTTAAATATCATTATTTGGACCTTGGGTCACGCATGTTTCGATCGATTTTAGCGTGTGCGTTTCGTGTCAAGAACATAATCCGTATTGTTAACGATGCAGAGACTCGGTCGAATAATAATTAGCAGTACTGTAAGTGCGTAGGAGGTCTCTCTTACCTTTTTTCGCGTGCAGAATGTCGGCGGGATCCGGTGGCAAGGCTGTACAGTGACTCGGACTTAAGCTGGGTTGCAACGATGGAAATGGACTCCCAGCGCCCGATGGATACCTAATGTAAATGCGTTCGATAATGATAATGAAACGAGAGCTTGCACAGCTCAACCCGATAACTTTCTCGTCAAAACTTTGGAAATACGTTCTATGGATAGAAATAGAAATTAACAGAAACGGACACGTCGATTTATATTATCTTTTTTTTATCAAACAATTACTTAAACCGCCAAACAATATTTTTAGAAATATATCAACCTCAACATTTATAGTTATGTTATTCATTGAGATTTAAGTATTCGACGAATAAGACTTTATTAAATTTTTTATGTATTAAAGACTGGAAGGAAATGCAAGTACAGAGTACTGTGATAAATATGAAATAAAAATTATCAACCGATAGAAGTGGATAAAACTATCTGAGTAACGTATATCGACTTCGCGATGAATAAGAATGACTTCATCTGTTAGAAACCGTTATGATAGGAATAATAATGAAGTTACCAGTTCTCCAAGGCTATGTCATGCGTTTTGCAATCTGCAAACGAGACTATCAGTTTTCTAGTAACTTTTCCAAATAATCGCCAACAAAATTACAATTTGTTTCCATTTATGATCGATTTAAAATTTATTGTGCCCTAAGTATGCGACCTATTAGGAACTCGTAAAGTTCTCCTTTCCACATTGGCCAAAAAGATCTTCCACTAGCTCCTCACTTTTCCTCGCGAAATCCTTTAATCGAATTATTTTCATTAACGTCTGTACGTGGAAGAAAAAATTGCCATAGGCAGTCGGTCAATCACCAGTATCTGCGTGCGTTGAACGCTTATAGGCGTTCGGAAAATACACATATGTATGTATGTGATAAGTTCAGTACAGCAATTTCATCGTCGTCTTTCATAATGAAAGGATTAAATTCGACATTCGATTTAGTATTTAAGAAGAAACAGGAATATTAATTTAGATCGTGTAATAATCAGTGATTGTAACCGTAACTCAAACCCTTGTACGACTATGTAATAAAGTAATTAATAAAAAAAATATAAGATGTTCACGCAGTTACTAGACAGCGTCATAAATATGTCAATTTATTATGTTTGTGAAACTTTTTTATATACTTATCATTTACGAGAAAATTGCTGGCTGGTAATAGCGTGTACAGCCTGTATAATAACCCACATAATCAGGTTATTTTTACACGATGACACGCAGTAACCCGGTTATCTTAGCCTGAAAACGGGTTACAGAAGTTCGTTGAAACTTGCAATTTATCGGCTATTATTATTTTATATATATAAATACACATAAAAATGTTTACGAAGTTTTTAAGAGATCCCTTCTTTTTAATTAATTTAAAATTCCAAGTATATACAAATATACGATACCTCTTTTGCAGGTTAAGACGAATCCTTTCTATCTTTTTTTTACAATGTGGTGTGATGATAAAGTGATTTTAGACGTGTATTGTCGACTTATTTCTACTCATAGAATGTACTGGCAAAGTTGTATCGTTTAACTTTAGAACACTCTGTACAGTCTTGGCGAGGTGGAAAATTGACTTTGTAATCGCCACGTGAAAAATGTGCTACTTACCATGGGTTGGGCCTCGGCCATCCTGTGGTCTGTCCATTAAGTATCCTCAGTTTATCGTAGACGCTCTCGGCTGGACTCCCAGCGCCGACGCCGACGCCAACGGCAGGCACTCCTTGTTGCTGTTGCTGTTGTTGCTGGCGCTGTTCTTTCTGCGCCGCTAAATTTCTTAGCACCCTGTTGATGGATGACACCTGAAACAGCAAGCGGAAAAATGCATTAGCGTCGAATATAGATTTCATTTTTGCACCTAATGTACACCTATTTACATCATTTCTTCCGTTTACCTAATTCTAATTTCTTAATTCTTACAGGTTTATTACAGTAAATACGTATCATTGTTGTATATTACTCCACTATCTTCCTATTCGTCTTAGAATAGTTTAACAACGCGTATTAAAAATAGTCAAACTTCAGACGTGTTTTATCCATAAATGAGCCATCGTTGGAAGCGGCAAGACTGTCCATTTCGGGGATATCGTAATTTATGTAAAGCGGTAATTTTTCTAATTTGACTATCTCTGTTGACTCCTGCAACTAAAAATAATTTTTTTAGAACGATTTGAAATTTTTTAATTTCGCCGAAAAATTTCAGCACCTACTCGAATTTTTTTCTCAAAAGTGGGTAGGATTTCGAGGGGATGTCTAATGACCAAAAATGATTACAATTGACCCCCGCAACCGAATATAATTTTTCCAGAATGATTTGAAATTTTTTAATTTTGTCGAAAAATTTCACACCTACTCGAATCTTTTTCTGGAAAATGGTTAGAAATTCGGGGGTATGCCAACCGACCAAAAATGCTTGCAATTGACCCCCGCAACCGAAAATAATTTCTCCAGAACTATTTGAAATTTTTTTTCTCATATACTTTTCATATTCGCCAGCAGGGGGCTACGTTCAATTTGTACCTCTCTCACAAGTACTCGAACGACACCCGTACTAAGAGTATCGCAAATTTTCCATAATCCATAAAATAGAGAGGCTCTAAGCTCGACGAAACATTGTTGCGAGATACCGTCAAAGGGAAAAACGCTGAAAACTGGTAAAAGGGTAGACGCTCGGTCGTTGACAATCGCGTTTGGCCGGATAACGTGTTTCCAGGGACGTCTCTGGATGATTGCACGATGGCTCGAGAGGGTTTCCTTCGCGGCATCGGATTTATTATAAGTACGAAACGCGGGGGGAGCGGGGGTTAGACTCGAAGCTATAGTCGAACGAAAGGAACGAAAGAGGAATACAGGGGTGGTCGGGTGGGACGCTGGGAGAGCGCTTCTGCCCGATGAAATGCGATGAGAGCGGTAATTAAAACGATGCGGTGAGCGGCTGCCGGTGTGTGCTCCACGAGGGAGTTAATTACCTCCGCCTTCAATTATATCCGTCTCGCGTCACTCCAAGGGGACTTCGGCTTCTGTCGACCTAAGTACGCGCACCCGTGTGTCTGCGATACTTGCGGATTCGCGGAGAAACACGTGTATGCAACAACGCATAGTACGAGATGTTACGCGTTCGATGTACACGTGTGTATGTACGTCTTCCGCCAATCGGGGACCGGAGCGTGTTAATCGTCGGTAATTCCGCGACCGCAACTTACTCGCGTCTTCCGTCGCTTCTGCGCGAAATTACGCGATAGTTCACGAGAGAGCATCCTGATCTCGGTGCACAGCGGGTCGAAAAACCTACACTCGACGATAAAAATCAATTTTCGTGACGTTCGAAACTGAAAATATGTTAATACGTGGGGACAATTCTGCTGTAATATTAATAACGTTTTTAAAAGAGAAAATTGATGAATATTTATCTGCTGAATAGATATGACTCAGTCTCGACCCAAGTATGTATTTAATTGATGTAGTTTTGATGACAAGACACTCAGAGGGTGCAACAAACGAGTGTCCTCCTCAGGTAGTACTAACCTTTGCAAGGGAGGGCACTGCACCAATGGATACAATTTTCCATTAAAAATACATGCATGCAATGCTTATTCTCAACAAAAATAAACTAAACAAAGATAATAAAATGAATTTCAAGTGGCACAGATCGATCGATTACTGCAGTGGTAAATGAAACGTATCTGTCCATCGAATCGATCTGTTCCCGTTCCTCCTGGAATGAATACTTAATTATTTGTATAGATTTACGACGACGGCGAGATTGTATATTTCACGTTGAGAAGTTAACGCCAAGTTCAGCGTGCGAATACCTAGCGATGCGTGGAGAAAAATATAGAACTCGAGAGAATAAATTGCGGAACTATCGGCAGCAGGAGAACCTACCGCTTTAGTTCGCAGGAATTCTTTTACGACTTGGCTGGGATTTATACGAGCTGTAAGTGACAGAACCGACGAAAGCAACTCACAGGAGCAGAGGATAAATAAAAGATACGATGGTAAAACGAATGGAACCGCGAGCAGTCTAACTGGCGGATATTCCTGCCCCGCGCATAGTTCCCTCGTAAAATGAATATCATTCCGCGAAACGAAATCGCTTTTATTGCGCGCACTGGATGTTTACAGAAACCAAAACCTACTAATCAGGGTGGAGAACGACGAGACGAGAGAAGATGAACCAAACGATATCGATGAACCATTAATTTCTAACAAACGTTTCGTAATTATAATTATATTAGAATTTGTGAACTTAAATTTTATCAGATTTGAATTAGATGAGTCTGTAATGTCCTATGTCAGAAGTCTTTTATCAGAAACTATGAAGTCTGGTATATTTGGGGATGATTACTGTGTATTAGTTATCTATCGATTCTTGAAAAACAAAATTAAATTAAATTCTTCTCTGCTTCGAACTTAAATCCTTGCTCGAACTTAAATTTTGTCAGATTTGAATCAGATGAGTCTGTAATGTCCTATGTCAGAAGTCTTTTATCAGAAACTATGAAATCTGGTATATTTGGGGATCATTTCTGTGTATGAGTTATCTATCGATTCTTGAAAAACGAAATTAAATTAAATTCTTCTCTGCTTCGAACTTAAATCCTTGCTCGAACTTAAATTTTGTCAGATTTGAATTAGATGAGTCTGTAATGTCCTATGTCAGAAGTCTTTTATCAGAAACTATGAAGTCTGGTATATTTGGGGATGATTACTGTGTATGAGTTATCTATCGATTCTTGAAAAACAAAATTAAATTAAATTCTTCTCTGCTTTGAACTTAAATTCTTGCTCGAACTTAAATTTTATCAGATTTGAATTAGATGAGTCTGTAATATCCTATTCAAGAAGTCTTTTATCAGAAACTATGAAATCTGGTATATTTGGGGATGATTACTGTGTATGAGTTATCTATCGATTCTTGAAAAACAAATTTAAAATAAATTCTCTGCTTTGAACTTAAATCCTTGCTCGAACTTAAATTTTATTACATTTGAATTAGATGAGTCTGTAATATCCTATTCCAGAAGTTTTTTTAATCAGAAACTATGAAATCTGGTATATTTGGGGATGATTTCTGTGTATGAGTTATCTATCGATTCTTGAAAAACAAATTTAAAATAAATTCTCTGCTTTGAACTTAAATCCTTGCTCGAACTTAAATTTTATTACATTTGAATTAGATGAGTCTGTAATATCCTATTCCAGAAGTTTTTTTAATCAGAAACTATGAAATCTGGTATATTTGGGGATGATTTCTGTATCTGAGTTATTTATCGATTCTTGACAAATTCTTCTCTGTTTTCTCAAGAAAAAAGAATTGTATAAATTAAAAAAAAAATCCTTTTTAGTCCGTCTTAAAATTATTGGTAGTTTTTATAATTCGAATCGAGAAAATTTGAAACGTTCTAAGCTAATTACCGAGTAAGTTCTGCAACAAGGTGGTCGGTCTTTTTGCTATTGTGTAAATTGCGTGTACGTCAGCCCGTACTCCCGGAGTCCTCAAAGAGTTCTAGAGAGCGTGAAAGGGAGAAACGAAAAGGAGAAATCGCGTGTTCAGGATTACGCGCGGAGTCCAGGGATTGGCCATGGGAGATTTTCGTTCCCCGAGGTTTGTTAGATCCGATGTCAGGGTTCCACGGCGTTGAAGCGAGCTGACATCTCGGACCCACGAACGGAGCAGTGTCATTTCCCTCAGTGCACATGCGAATCCATCCCCTTCACGGACACGTCCCAAACACGAAACAGACATCACTGATACTCTCCCTCCGCTAGCCTTGATGTCCTTCGACATTCCGGACGTTACGCTTTCCTTCTAACGGTGCAAAAATTAACGACAACAGTGATAACGTTTGCGTAACCTAACCCACGATTAGCAAAATAATTAACCACGCGAGCATGATCTAACTGTTTCGTTGATTTTTTAATTATTTGATTTAACCCCTCGCCGTACAATGACGAGTCTTTTTTTCTGACTCGTAAGGCTACTCACTCGTCATCAAGTTTTATACATATTAAAATCAACACGTTTTTACATTAACGAGGTATTCATAAAACAAATCTACTCTTTTTTGTACTCATTCCTTGTACGAACAAATTTAAACAATATTAAATAACATACTATATTAATAGCCAAGGGGTTAATCATATTCATCATGGAAGTAAAAAATATTTATTTTCTTGTCAAACTATACACAAAATTCGTCCATTTTTCTCTGTTTAATATCGACGTTAGAAATAATGCCACAGAATGGTGTGATCAATAAAGAGCTCGAAACGACGAAACAAATAACATTCGCCAGCATTCCGTAAACTCGGTAGTTTCTTCAAGATTTTAATTATTTAACTTCCGGTCAGGCAGGCAATTTTTCGTCGTAACCGAAGGAATTTGTCGCCGGTCAGGGACGCGTTTCGTGGCTCGCAGGTTGCCGCGATCCTTTAAAGCGCACAAAAGCATCCGCATCGAAGTCACTCGACGTCAGGATCTCGTGCACAATGAAAAGCCGTTGTGGCAATACGGTTCTCCAGCAACAAAGCCGGTATCCCAAAGAACGGGTGTGCCAGTCAAACAACAATCTGGACCCTGGCGCGACATCGAGTGTCCTGGCTGTCGTTCTATTTTTTTTTCTTCTTTTTTTTTTTTTTATATTATTATTGACGTCGACCGCAAGTATCACTGCTTCTTAACTCTCCGGCGACATTTGCCGCGTGTGTCACCCTCGTCATTATCGTGACAATCGGTCGCGTACTAGAAATCGATCTCACAATGGGCTCGCTTTACAAGCGTCGGGCCAAGCCACTCGCG